TGATTCTACTTCTCCTTATATTTTTTCACCTTGACCTCTTATTTGCTCTTGCTTGTCTTTATTCTTCTATTTCTTACATAAAATTCCTCTATTTCTAAACTATCCACGAAGACAAGTTAATTTTTTCACTACTCGCCCTAGATCAAAAGGTTTTCTTACTACTAAGGTAGATAGCTACATACTCATCTAGAAGTAACAAGAAAACATGGCAATATTGCTTTCCTATATTGATGATCTAATTCTCACTGCTTCTTCATATTCTCTTTTACAAATATTCTTAGCTGAGTTTAAGACTGAATGTTTTATGGTCAACTTTGGACTTCTTCATTACTTTCTCGGAGTGAAAGTGCCACCCAATGTTGATAGTTTATTCTTGAATCAAACTATTATGTTGAAAAATTACTCAACATGGCGGGATGGGAAAACTGCTTATCCATCTCAAGACTAGCAGTTTCCCATGGTCAATTAGGAAAGGGTGTAGTACTCTTTACATTGATCCCACCTTCTAAAGGAGCATTGTTGGCGGTGCCCTTCAATACTTGACTTTTACAAGACCTAATTTCTTGTTCACAGCAAATCATGTTTGTTAGTAGATGCATGAGCCACGGAATAATCACCATCAGGCTGGCAAAAGAATTCTTAGGAATATTAAGTGCACTCTCACATATGATATTCAATTATTCGTGACTCTTCTTTTGAATTTGCTTGGTTATCTAGATGTTGATTAGGCTGATTGCACTGCTACAAGATATCAACTATAGGCTATTGTGTTTGTATTGGCTCAAATTTAATCTCTTGTATTGCTAAGAAGCAAACAACAGTTCTTCGCTCTGGTGTTAAGGCCAAATGTCATCTCTGATAATTTCTAGGCTGTTGAATATGTCACCAGAACTACATGTCATTCAATAAATCCTCCTGTCTGTGGTGATAAAGCTAGCACTACCTATATGACTTCTAATCCAATTCAACACACTTGTCCAAAGTACATTAAACTTGATATCCACTTTATTCGGGAAAAAAGGTTCAATTTGGAGCTCTAACTGTATGTTATGTTTGAAGTCAAGATGAGTTAGCTAATACTTGTACAAAAGAGCTCAATGCAAATTGCTTCAATTCTTTATGGTTCAATTCAATACATCTTACTATGCATAGTTTGCGAGCGAGTAAAGAGATAACTAACGTAATATATTTAACCATTTGTATGTAAAAATTTCTTAGTTCTTCTACTTCTGATATAGCTTGTCATTAGATTTGTAATATACTTATTGTACATATGCTGTAAATAGCACCATATAATACATGAATACACATGAGACGATTTATTCATAAATTATCCGGTTTAAACAAAGAAGATGGACATAGATAGGGATCCAAGTGCCATAGATGAGAAAAGAGAGCAAAAGACTAGGCAAATATAAGTTGTTTGTTTCTACAATCCAGAGTCAGCAAGAAGGTATATGAAGATAAAAAGAATAAAATTGAAAACTGGCAAAGACAATGTTACTACTAGTATAAGAAGAATATCTTCACTAGTCTAAAAAGCATTTTACTCACCACTTGACTTCAATAATTGGCGTCTGTTAATCTTCCTGTTAGATACCATCCCATTGGACTTGACTTCAACCACCTAGAGAGAGAGACAAACAGAGAGAATAAACAATTCATACAAGTAACAATAATCAGTAAGCTGTGGCAACCATATCGGAGAAGTAACTACTGAATAACCATAGCATTTTTCTGAATTTGTTGTACGGATAAGCAATAGAAGATAATAATTAAACAAGTTGCACAATCAGCTCAGCAGCATGAGAGACAGTGTAGGCTCCTCAAGAGAAGAAATATACAATACACCACTAGATGACTCACGAGATTCACAAGATGCCAGGATACAGAGAACATGAGCCGTTTTGAGGAACAACAATAGAAAAGTTACAGAGAACATGAGCCTTTTTAATGGAACAACAATAGAAAAGTTTGACAATTCTCTTGTTGTTTCTAGAGAAGCATTGTTCCATTTATCGTCTTTAAAATGTGAAACACAAGTGCATTACAAAGTGACTCAGCGAAGTCAACCAGAAAGAAGCTTTTACTTGCGTTTTATATATTATAATTTCAACCCTTACGTAAACCAGAAAATTAAATATAAAGCGGACATAGATTCAAGCCAAAAACAAAATTCACACTCCACTCAGTTTCCACTTCCTCCCCAATGTAAATGCACGAAAGCCCCAAGAAGAACACAAATCACATTGTAAGAAGCAACCACTTATGAACATCAAAGAAGAAGCATTGAAGTAAAACAAACAATTTATAGTTTTCACGTTCTTTTCAACAAAATTTTCAGCAATTTCCGTTAAAAAGAAAACAAAGACAAACAAAAGTAGAAGACCTCATAAACCGGTTCCCGAATTCCTAGGGAGAGAAAATCGCTCGAAGATGACAAGGCAGTACTCTGCGTTGGGACAGGGCGCACCTTCGCGTCCTCTCTCCCTCCGGCATCGCCGCCAGCATCGCCGCCGTTGGTTAGGGTTTCGGTTTCACTCCATTGATCCTCTTCTGTCGATGATCCAGCCAAGCATTTCACTCGGGACGATACCTTGAACGCAATTGGGTACAGAGGAATCTTGCTTGTTTCCAAAGAGATGAGACGGGACGAAGAAGGTAGCCATGAGGACGCAATGACTAGGCAGTGAGTAGCTGGAGCTGGAGATGGAGAGTGAAACGAGAACTGCAAAAGATTATTAGGAAAAGAAGAATGATAGGAAGCGAACGCCATATTCGGTGGCAAGGTCGGTCATGGAGAGAAGTGAATGGGTTTTTAGACGATAGAAAAGGAATAGAGTTTTCCGATTGGATAATTTATCTTTTTCAGATTCTACGCACAACAAATGTTTGATAAAATAATTAAGAAAATAGTAGTTGACAGTTATATTTGTGGCTCCCGATTGCTTTTGAAAGCATAGATGCACCGGACACGTGTAGTAAAGTGGTTTTAGAAACCAGGCCAACTCTCCGGGGCGAAAATTTATAAGAAATTATTTTTTATTAAATTGACGTAATATAATTTCAGAAAATTTTTATAACTATATAAAAAATATAAATATTATTTTATGTAAATAAAAAGTATATAAAAATAAAAAATAAAAAAAAAGTTCTAATAAAAGGGTAAGAAAGTTATTATATATAAATTTAATAGAATTATCACAATGTTCTCTATTTAAAATGGATTAAAAAATTATATGTTATAATCAAATAATTTAAACACATATATAACTTTTTGTTTCCAATTTCATCGAGAAAATCAAAGTATAATGTTATTATTAAAGATAAATTAATAAATTTGTTAAAAAATAGTAACAGTAAAGAATAATCAATCTTAAAATTATCAACTTAAAAGCATAAATTATATATGTATAGTATATCATATCTTAAATTTTCTTGTCATAGCTTACCTTTGTAAAAGATTTGCAGGATGAATGAGATAGGATGAAAAAATGTAGAGTCAATAATTTATGTAGTGCATAATTTTAAAATATGTAGTTAACTAAAAATTAAATTTTATTTTTTTATTTAAAATTTTTAAAATGAATAATTGTTATATATATAATCAACTAATTTTTTTTATATTTAAAAATTATTTACCACATAATTTATAGCTAATTAAAAATTAAAATTTATTTTTATACTTAAAAATTTAAATAGATAACTATTATATGTATTGTTATATTAAGTAAATAAATTATTTTATATATTATTATGTTAATTTCATTTTTGTTTTTTAAAAATTATTTGGTGTATAATTTTTAGCTAACTAAAAATAAAATTCTCTTTTTATATTGTAACAATTTAAATAAATATATATTATATGTATTTTGGCATTAAATAGAAAAGCATTTCAAAAAATAAAGAATTGAGACATAGTGTTTTTTGTTTTAGTTTTATATATAACAAATTAGATTGAATTTCAATAATTTTTTAATTTTTTTTAAATCTTACTTTAATTAGTAAATAATTTTTAATGCCTTTTCTAAAAATTTTAAAAAGTATTAGTTAATGTAAAGATCCGAAAATAGCAAAATAAAGTAATATTGAAATTTATAAATTAGCAGAAACAGTTTAGAGTTTAGGGTTACATTCCTTACACAGTTTACTTAAAAACATCCAATATAGCTACGAGAATACTCCTAAAGAACATAAATGAAAAAGAATAATAAAGAAAACTAATGTAATCAACTTCTTCTTGAAATTGGAAAAACATATAGGCAATCTTCTAGCTAATTTTTTTACTATTCAGGATTAAGATCTTGGTTGTCCTGATCTGAAATAGTTAACAGTAAAAGAGTTAGCTACATTAACTCAGTAAAAATATCAATATCTTACCACTGATATGGAAAATCAAAACTTTATAAAAATCGTAAAATAACCAATGGAGATCATTTTTAAATAAAACTCATTTAACTGAAAACGTTAATTTCATTAACTCATATGTAAGTTCCTAAATGTCATTTATGAAAATAAGATTTATAATAGTGATCTACACTACGCATTCTAAAAGACATATAACAATTGACCTTTCATTATTCCCCAGAGCTGGGTTCTAATCTTATTCACCTTTATCATTTTAATTTGCCTACCGATGTTGGTGGGATTCCATAGGAGTCCCTACTATACGTGGACCAAATATTTATTTTTATTAATCAAATGGTCGTCCCTATAACGGCCCCGGAAATTCAAAAATGAAAATGTATATTAAAGATATCAAATGCGGGAAGCGAAGTCCAAAAATTTGATTAACATCCCCTTACACTAAAAACCAAAAACGTGCTCCACATATAACAGATCAAACTA